GTCCCACTATGGACCTGTATGAGGGTGCACCCAAGAAGGCGACCCGTAAATCCAAACACCCCTCTGCCTCCAGAACTGTTACGACTGGCGTACCTACGGTCGCCCCAGAAAGTGTGTCCCACCCATGCAAAAGAGCCTTTCCGCGCCAGGCAGAACAGGCGCGGCTCTGGAAATGTGCTAGAGAACAACCTGAGAGTGACTCCGACTCAGAAATCGGGTCAGGTGAGGAGGCTATGGTTGAGTCGGATGATGACTCTGATGTTGAGACCGCTGAGCTGGGCCTTGACCTCCTTCCCTCTGCTCAGGCAGAGACATCCGGAGGTGACACGGGGGCACTTCACACCGCAACTGCAGGGTCCACCCTCTTGGATCCATTGGGCGAACCTCTCTTTGACCCGGATGAGCTTCACCATCCAAGGTCGGCGGAGTGGCTCCCAGCGGACCATGTAGCCAAGTACCTTGAAAATCGGGTACGACGCCCGCTTAGTAAAGCGGAACGGAACAAACTGAGGGCAGAGTGCCCAAGGCCTACAGTGCCAAATAAAGTCTGTGATACCCCTGAAGTTGATCCGAAAATGACCCATTTCCTAACTAAATTGGGCTGGAACCCTCGTAAGGGCCTAGACTCTGCCCTGAAAGCATGCCAGGATAAACATTTAGACATATTTGGCCCACTGGCAAAACATTTTGAACGGCTCGGAGGATGCCAGAGCTGGAAACCATATGGTTGACCCCGAAGACCTCTGTGGTTGGGTCCAAAGGGCTATTTGTATTGCCAGGAACGTAAACACCTCCCTCTCTATTGAACGGCGTAAAGCCATTTTGTTTAAAATAGAGCCTAAACTAGACAACCTTGCCCTAACAGAGGCTGGGAAGGACGCCCAAGGATTACTATTTGGCGACTCCTTCATTAAAGACCTGGGGCATTTTGTGGGGGCATTTACGGGCCTTGACAAGGCCCAAGACTCCATGAGACAGGTTTTTCAGGGACGGGTCTCCACCAGGGCCGGCAGATCCAGGAGCCATCTGGCCGGCCGGTCCTACTTTCAGTCCCGTGGCTCGGGACGAGGCTCTTTTTAGCACTGCTCCAACTTCCAGGAGACAAATACCCGCTCCCCATTCTTCCCATCACATGGACGCCCATGGCAATCCAGAGGATTCCGTGGTAATACCAGCTCCAGAAGACCCTATGGTGAGTTTACTCATACCTTATGTTTCTTCGCATGTTTATGTAGTGGGGAGACTCCAACATTTTTTCCCAGCCTGGGCACAGATAACCTCCGACCCCTGGGTACTAAACACCATTCAAGGTTTCCACATAGACCTTGTAGGGAACCCTGTAACTATCCCTCCTCCTCGACCGATCTGCTTCTCCCTCCAAGATCGCAGGTCGATCGACGACGAGCTATCCTCGCTCCTCACCAAGAGAGCGATAGAACGGGCACCCCCAGCCTCCACAGGAGTCGTAAGCAATATTTTCCTGGTGGAAAAGAAGGGCGGCCAAATGCGCCCAGTCATAAACCTGCGCCCACTCACTGCTATGGTCAGGTACTGCAATTTCAAGATGGAGGGTATCCATCTGCTGAGAGATCTACTCTTTTAGGGGGACTGGTTGGTAAAGCTGGATCTCAAGGATGCATATCTCACTGTGCTTATAACCGAAGCATCCCGAGATCTCCTGCGTGTCCATTGGCGGACAGGGACTTGGAGGCTCACATGCTTGCCCTTTGGCCTGTCATCAGCACCATGGTGCTTCACAAAACTGCTGCACCCAGCTATGGCCTGGCTACGCAGTCGAGGCATTCATCTAATCATATACCTAGACGACATGCTGCTCATGGCCCAGGATCGCTCCATACTTCTGGCACACCTGCGGCTGTCAATGAACCTGCTCTCTCGCCTGGGTTTCATTATCAACCAGGAAAAGTCGTGCCTGACTCCCGCCACTCACATGGAATTCTTGGGATTCCTAGTGGATATGGTGGCGGCCACGTTTGGCCTTCCAGGATCCAAGACTCATTCAATACGCAAGGAGCTCCGCAGGGCTCTCATACGGCCGCAACTCACCTTGAGGAAACTGGCGTGCCTCATCGGCCTCCTAGCATACTCCATTCAGGCAGTGTTCCCGGTCCGCTCCATTACCGTGCAATGCAACGCTTAAAAATAGCCCACCTGAGGGCCGGCGCATCCTACACGGACCTGGTATCGCTAGACAACGAGACAAAGGACGAATTGCAATGGTGGATCCTCAACCTATCTGCTTGGAACAGCATGGCAATCTTCGGCTCCATGCCGGAGTTCACCATCGACTCAGATGCGAGCCTCCATGGCTGGGGGGCTCATTGCGAGGGTGTGGCGACAGGGGGTCGCTGGTCGGAATCCGAATCCCGACTCCACATCAACGCATTGGAACTCTTGGCAGGCTCCTTCGCAATCCGCAGCTTCGCAAGGGACCGAGCCCATACATGCATCCGCCTCCGCATGGACAATGTATCAGCGGTGCGGTATGTCAACCACTTGGGCGGTACTCAATCTGCGGTCCTGGCCAGATTGGCGAAAGACTTTTGGGACTTTTGCTTAGACTGGAACCTGGTGGTTCAAGCTGAATACCTGCCAGGACTACACAACGTCCAGGTGGACTGGGGCTCACGATATCTATCGGATGCCAGCGACTGGAAATTGGACACGAACGTGTTCTCCAGTATATCGTCTCTTTGGGGACCTTTTGCTATAGACCTATTCGCCTCCCGGCTCAACACCCAGCTCCCACGATTCTTCAGCTGGAGGCCGGATCCGGCGGCAGAGACAGTGGAAGCCTTCCTGCAGGTTTGGAGCGGAGACCTCCTATATGCTTTCCCCCCGTTCTCCATGATCCCTTGCACCCTTCTACACTCTCACAGATATCAGGCCGAACTGGTCCTAGTGACCCCATTCTGGGAAACACAATCATGGTTCCCTCAACTTCTCGGGATGACAGTGGATTATCCCAGACTGTTGCCACCCTCCCAGGAACTTCTACTGGATCCGATAGGGTGTTGCCACCCTCTCGGGTTAGAGGGCTCCCTCCCGCTCCTGGCATGATGGATTTCAGGGGACCCTGGGAGGTCCAGGGATTTTTGGACACTACTAGACGCCTAATGGCAGCGGCATGGGCTCCCGGCACTAGACGGGCATATGGGTCAGCTTGGCGAGCTTGGGCTGGTTGGTGCCTGGCTGAGGACATGGATCCCGTTTCAGCCTGTAGCTGTGGTCCTACAGTTCCTGACTTCCCTCTTTGAAGCAGGTAAGGCATACAGGACCATCAACCTATATCGGTGGGCCATCTCCTCAACACATCAGGTTTTCGATGGCTGCCCAGTGGGCCAGCACCCCTTGGTGTGCCGGCTCCTCAAAGGTTCTCTCCTCTCTCGGCCGCCCAGACCGGGCAACACCTGGGCTTCGTGGCCCACTAATTCCGCGCTCTCCCTTAGACAACTATCAGCCAAGCTGGTCTGTTTGTTTTGTCTCATCTCCTGTAAAAGGGTCCCGGATGTCCGAGCACTGGACTTTAATGCCAGATCATATACCCCAGAAGGAGGGACATTCAATATCAGCAGACGCACCAAAACATCTATTAGGTCAGTATCTTATCAGAGATTCCCCACTACACTGGCGCTATGTCCGGTGGCTTGCCTACGCGCATATGAGGATCGCACCAAGCTACACCATTCTGCATCCTCCCCCCATTTATTTTTTCTACCCACCCGCCGTTTCAACCCATAACTAGCACCACTTTGTCTTGATGGGTTTAATGGCTACTCTCTCAAGCCGGTATTGACACTGCGATTTTCGGCACCCATTCGATCAGGGGGGCCTCGGCATCTTCAATGATGGCTTCAGGCACGTGCCTGGAGGACCTCATGTAGATGGCCGACTGGTCGAAGGGAATCGGTTTTTCGGGAATTCTACTTCAGACCGGTTCCTCATACGTTTGCGGCAGTAGTCGATCAGCTTTAACCCCATAAGGACCAAACTTCTGGAATAAAAGGAATCATGACATGTCACACATGTCATGTGTCCTTAAGGAGTTAAACTTGCAATATGAGTCTCCATGTCTTGTCATAAAATTGCATGATTTTGCTATTACATGACGAAAAGTCATGATTTTATTAAAGACACGGAGGCAAGTATTGTCCCATCCATTTTATACTGCTCAGGTTATGACTTGTTTGTTTCTCCCCCCCCCCCAGTTTATTTCAATATATAGGTGACACGTATCGCTTTGATTGGTACGGTAAGTGGGATCTGTGTTGGAAGGGATTTGGCTATGTAACTATGTCAGTTGGGTCTATTGGGTTATTTCTCTGCAGATGTTGGTTGGGCCTTGCTCTGTCTGGCCTTGATGTCAGTCTCAAGTACCGATTTCACCCTTAGGCTCCTGTTCTTTATGTTTTCACAGCCTAATCCGTTCCGGCATGTGAAGACCTCTCACTGCGAATACAGTTTGGTCGGCAGTCATCAAGTTGTGGTTCCATGTTAATTGATGTTATGATCCTCCTCTTGGGTTGAAGTTTCTACGTTTTTGTTTATCTCTGGACTATATTGCTGTTCCTGTTTTGGACTCTGTGTATAGTGTTGCATCTTCAGAAAGAGGGAAATGGAAGGGAAGTGCTGGCTATTATACTGGGACCTGTGCAGGGAGGGGCCTATGTCACTGTATGTTCATTGTTTTTTCATTCTGTTTATATCCTTTGCTGCTATTGGTGGACAGTAAAGAAAGGGATATGCAATAATCGCCTCCGTGTCTTTAATAAAATCATGACTTTTCGTCATGTAATAGCAAAATCATGCAATTTTCATTCCAGCTCTCATGTGACTTCAGTTCACCTTACAGCATCTTTCAGTCTGACATTATTATTTTATTATTTATATAGCGCCATCAGATTCCGTAGCGCTGTACAATGGGTGGACTAACAGACATGTAATTGTAACCAGACAACTGGACGTACAGGAACAGAGAAGTGGAGGGCCCTGCTCAATGAGCTTACATTCTAGCTGAAACCATTATTTTCGACATTTCTACTGATGACTGCTTCTAAAACGCTCTTGCAGTGTGCTATAAGGAGGCAGTCATTCTTTTTCCAATCATTACAGGGTGGCAACAATGTTGAGATACCTTCAGTTGTTCTTCCAATGTTTAAATTTATCGGTAGGTAAGGGAATATTCACTGGATCACTGAACCCCCTAGCCAATAAATACGTTGACAAAAAAACAAAACAAACAAAAAAAAGGCCCTCAGCACTCAGCAATATATTCAGGTAGTTTATTGAGCCATCAAAGTGAAAGGGCAACGTTTTGACACGTTTGTGTCTTTCTAAAACCATAAGAAAGGCTTGAAAAAGACACATACATGTCAAAACATTGCCTTTCCACTTTGAATTACTGTAGATCCAGGTGAACAGGGGCCCCATCTTCTAGTACCGGCAACAAAATTCAGAATTTGCTTCAGAATGTCGGCCACACACTATTTACTTATAAATAATCTGGCTACATAAATCATGCACCTGGTTACTCAAGTGAACGCTAAATTTCCAAAGTGCCCCACTCCCTCCACCAACCAGGTATAATATGATACAGTTGCATTTTAATCTGCACATTATTTCATCAAAACACGCTGTGATTTGAGACAGATCATAGGGGGTGCTAAACGACTAAGGGTCAAATAACAAAAACAGTGGGGCTTTCTCTCTCGACTTTCCTGGAAATCTACAAATCTATACATTTCCGAGCCCTTTGGCTAGTAAATTGCATAGCAAAAGTTTATTGAATTATTCTATAATGCTATGGTTGCAGAGCCCCTTTAAGTACTTATGAAAAATTCTCCTATTACCATGGCAACATCAATTATTTGAATTTCTCACTGTCAGCAAATCCATTTTTGTATCTCACAAGTTTTTTTTTTTTTCTCTCCAGAGGAACTCTCAATTATTGGCACGCTGTGCTATACTTCAGGATTTCCTCTGCCAAATACTCTACTAAGTGATTGCACAAGTTTTCATTCACGGAAAATCAACGATAAGAAAAATATTAGAATAACAAAATGGCTAAAGTAGAATTAACCCCATAGTTTGGGCACTTTTTTTGTGTTCGCTTATATGTTAATCTCTTTTCTATTAGCCTCTCTAATTACATTTGGACACATATCTTTCTAGTACATTTCAAGCAATTCTGTTTTTAAAGAGATATTGACTTAAATAATATATATCCTTCGTGCTTTTTATCTAACGAGTTTGAGCTGATCTGCTGCGTAGTGGGGAAAAAAAAACGTCCCAAAGCATAAATTTGACAATATTACCTTAATGAATAAATAGTATTTTCACTTGGTGGAGAACTTTTAGGTCAAAGTAAGTAAGCTCGAAAAAATGTTGAATTTCATTTTTTTTTTCTATTCAGCTATTTTGATTTAAAATTAGCTTTTCTATGTAAATTTTTTTAATAATCTTAGATCTAGTGAATAAACACAAACATTGATCTGTCTATATCTCTGAATGATAGCCAGTTTTCCCTATTAAAACATTTCACCCCATATTAGGTTTTACAGTTGCATACCTCCCAAACATCCCTATTTTGGATGCAAGTCTCTCCTTTCTAACCTAATGTATCTCTTTTCTAGTAGCTCCATATTGTTGGTGTGTCTGAGTGTGTAACAGAGCTCCACAGCAATAATACTCACAGTATTTAAACTACAATAAACGTGATTAGAAATCTGTGTAAATAAGGTACACTGTTCTTATTCTAAATTACATTTTAGTTGCATAAATTGTTACTAGCAAGTTATCTAAAAAATGTCTCAGAGCAGTCCTGCCACTGGCCATACCCATTAAAATTAAAGTGTCCCTCTTTGTTCATGTGAAATGTTGGTAGGTATGCAGTTGTGCACTAACTATGAACTTTAAACGAACATTTCGACCCTCACACCCCATAACGACTCCAGCTCATCGAATGTGTTATGGGGCAGAAGGTTGCTTGCACAATCTCACCTTCAGCTGTTGCGAAATATACTATTTCTCTCAAAGGTTGGCAGAGTTATGGGGGTGCATACTATCACCGGCTGCTTGTATAAACCTTCCTCGTTTTACAGAGTGGAGAAAGTCAGGTCAGCTGTGTTGGGCGACACAACCCCAACTTCAGGGTTAGACCGTTGCAAAATAGTTTAACCCATGAAGGTAAGACGGCGCCAGACACTCCTTCAATGAGCTGACGTTGTTATGGCATAGGAGTGTACCTTTAATTTCCACAGTGCAGTTGGGACGATTTGCCATACCCCTGGAAATCAGGATCTTCATTGTGGACTAATGTATATTTTAGTACTCGGCATCATGGATCTAATATTTTTTGGAGACTGATATCTGCTATTACAGAAAACCCTGATATTACATTGGGTTGTTTCATCTTCTTTGGCCTAACACTCTCACAGTCAAGAATTTTTCCAGATTGGCTGCAGCCTATTTTGACCTTAAGTTTGGAATTCACTTTCATGTAAATAACTCTGTCACTGTGATTTCAAAGTTCATAGAAACTATTGTCAGTGAGGTCGTCAGTCTGGTCCTTCCTACGAGTGCCAGAATACCAGTATGCCTATTGTTTTTTCAGTGTGTACTATTATATTTTCCCAACATGTTTTATTGGTGTATTTTAGGTGCCTGTTGACCATTAATCTCATATATCTGCCATATTCAGTGTCTGGAAGTATATACTGACTCACAATTGAAGCCTTCCTATGGGCAAATGTTCATTCACAGTTTCCTTAATGTAAAAAAACAGTCTTCTATTTGTGTCGACTTAATAAGTATCTGTTAGGCTTCTCGGTGTATAGTAATGCATACAAGTTTATTAATTTCATTTCAGTTTAAATTAAAAACACTCATATGTATACATGTATAATGTGTTAAAGGAACACTGTACTCCTAACACTACGGTGTCCCCCCTCCCGAGCTGGTGTGTCCCCCATTTGCCATAATAATTTGAAAAAAAGATTTACTTGTCATAAAAATAGGTCCGTCGGAGCTGGTCACATCTCTACCTTCTTCAACACCTCGGAGGCCTCCTATACCAATGTCCATTCCAATGCTTGTCATACAGTCAGTGGTTTTCTACGGGGCTTCTGCATCACGGTCAGTGTAGCGGCAGTGCCTCTACTGGATTAACCATGCAGTATTTTACATTGCAGGTTTAAGCGCACTGAGACAAAGTGGTCTGGGTGACTTTAGTGTCCCTTTAAGATTTTAAAGGAGAGCTCCAGGCACCCACATTTTAGGTACAATGTGTAGGATGATTATTTAGATTCCTTTTTTTGTTTAAAAATATGCCTACTTCTTCCATGTTTCACCAAACCTACAGTGTCAACCATTTTACAGTTTTATGTTTCATACCTGTAGATGTGATGTTTTTATTTTGCATATCAATGTGTTATCTACAAAACTAATTTAAAAGAGTGGAGGCTGCGGTTATGTCATCTTCTAGAGTCTAGATCTAGAGTGTCTATTTCACAATTTTATCTTTCCTGGTTAAACGTCTTCATGTGTATGAATGTACGTTTTTGTTTATTTGAATCCAAAGTGGCTGGATTTGACACTTTTCCCAAATTGGCAAAGTATTTAGCTGTTTGTCATCGTAGTGTAGAACAGACTGTGTCTATGAAAATCATTTGTGCCAATCTAACCTGTGTACAACCAAATGTATGTGTTTGATTCGGTAAATTGTTTGTAATGGTGCTAATGCGTGATTGGATAAGAAGTTTAATACCTGCATCCGCTACATCCAATAAGTGTTTTATGCAAAACACAAGATAGACTATCATAAAATAACCAAAAAAAAGAGAATTTTTGAATAAATTGACCTCTACTTTATTCACACCATCTCTGTGTGCTATTTTGTGTAATGTTGACAGTGTGGAGTCTTACAGATCCTACAGAATTTATATATAGTTTCACCGTTAAATCAATCAGCCCTATAATAAAATATGGTTTCGTATCTATCAGTCTGCTTAATTCGTATTCAGTGGAGTGGATAGTTACTGTGTGAAAACATAGATTTCAGAATGGGTGTATACTTTTCATTGTGTCATAGATATTGAGGTTGTTTTGTTAGATCTGCTTTAACCATTCACTAGAGCTGAAATATGTCTTTAACGTACATGTTTAAAACAACCATCTAATAAACACAAAGCTAAATACTGTACAGTAAACTTGCCTGTCACCTTTATGGCTTAGGCTAGAACTTCCTACTATGTACAAGTACAGAAATATCCACTGCCTATACATATATTTATATTTATAATGTTTACCTACAACCATGTGGATATTTAATACAGACTACACTCCTCTATAATTCAAGGATTGCAAGAGATGGTCCCTGTATAAATCCTGAGTATTTTCCCCAAATTCATTATCATAGTAGCATTACCATATCCTAAATATTTCTAAATTTGTTTCTACTTCACCCTTCTTCTAATTTCATAAATTATAGTCAATTTTATATGATTCATTTGCTGAAAATAATCAACATCCTCATTTGTATTAAGGCTGGTTTTAATTATACCGTTTCATTGCTTCCAAGTCACCTGCACATTAATCCATATTATGGTACCATTGTCAGTTTAGACTTGTGACCTTGGCATCCAATCAACAATTATCATCAGCACACAGTCCTTATTTAACATTTCTGTTCCATCTTCGACTTCGAGAAGAGGTATTGGGCTTCTGGAATGGTAGGCTTTTCAGTTATCAATCTTTTTACAACTAGAAGTGTAAAATAACTTGAGCTGGACAGAAAAAGAAGAGCCTTTAGATAGCCCTTATATTTCGTAGGAATGGAAGAATAATGATGGTCTGGTTTCTGTCCTGGACAATCTTTTGTAAGTCCATATGTAAAGCACTCCATTTGTCTCACTCCTTTAAATGAGCAAGAAATCACAGTGTCCATGTTATCGTACTTCAGCAGCATAGCTACTTTCAAATCATCTTCATGTTGAACTTCCTTGCTCCACCCTGACCAGCAGCAGATGCAGGACCATCAACTTTACGGAATGAGTACTCCACTGAGAAGTTGTTCTTATGTTGCCCTCTCCCTCTGCTCCAGACAAAGAGTATGAGGAAACAAAATAGGACAACCCCCAAGAAGGTAATGCAGCCCATGGCTGTTGATACTAAGATGGTTTTCAAGTCCAGGGTAAACTTCAAAAAGACGTGGGTGTCGTTATGGGAGGTGTCATTGTACTCTGAGAGATATAATGTTCTGTTGGAGTACGGGGAATTGTCACCTTTGACAGTCAGTGTAGCAAAATAAGTGTCATTGCCTCCAGCATTTGTGGCGATGCAGATGTAGGTACCACTGTCCTGAACTTGAGCATACCGGATCTCCAAAGTTCCTTCTGGTAGAACAGTGGATCTTCCCACACTCCTGCTAGTTATCATCCTCCGTTGTGGAGAAACCCAGACTATAATTGGGACTGGATCACCATCTGCCCTACACTGGAATGATACAGGTTGCCCTTCATGGGCTGTAATATGTTGCAGCTTTCTGTCCCTTATTTTGGGCTTTTGGCATGTAAAGTACTCAAATAGTATTGAGTCTGGGAAATCACTTAGGGCATTGCCCTGGATTTCTATTGGGGAAGCGCATATAGGTTGATGACCATCAAAGTTGAGGGTCTTCCGACGCTGCAAGATCCACAGCAGTCTGCAGTCACAGACAAGAGGGTTGGCATCCACTCTCAATGTCTCTAGAGTATTAACTGACTGGAAGACATTATCCTCTAGAGTTGATAGAAGATTGTTAGAGACATTCAGTAGGCGTATTTGTCTCAATCCATAAAATGCCTGGGAATCCACAGAAGTCAGGGAAGCTCCAACCATGTGGAGCTCTTTGAGCCTGACAAGATCTCTGAATGAACTTCGTTGTATGGCTCTAATTGGGTTGTAGGAGAGGTTTAGGTATTCCAAATACACCAGACTTCTTAATGCAGTTGCTGGCACTGAGGTGAGGTTAGTGTAGGTGATAGAAAGGGAAGTGAGATTCAGCCCCTGGAATGCTGTAGTACAGACATCCTCCAAAAATGGCCAACAATCTAATTCAAGCTCTTTGAGATTATAGAGCTTCTGAAAGTTCTGCTCTTCTAGAGAGCTAATGCCTAAGTGACGGAGCCTCAGGACCTCTAGTCCTTGCAAGTAAGAAAGGGACTCAGCAGATATAGAAGTGAGGTTGCATTTTTCAATAGTCAGTTGTTTCAGCCCCACAAGTCCAGAAAAGGCTTTCTGTGAGATATACAGTAGGTCATTGTCACCAACTTCAAGGCTTTTTAAGTACCTCAGGTCCTGGAACATGAAATCCAGGAGAATGACAATCTTATTTTCGCTAATGTCCAACAGAGTCAAGTTGCTGAGTTTGGTAAACACCCCAGTGGGAAGAAGCTTCAGTTGATTGCCTTTCAATCTGAGGGTCTGAAGATAGAATAGGTTGGCAAAGGCCCCTGGCTCTATGGTAGAGATGATGTTTTCACTAAGGTCAATTTCCTCTAATTGTGGATATGGAGAGAGTTCACCAGGATTCAGGCAACGTATACGATTCTTGCTAAGGTCCAAGAGCCTAGTTTCAGAAGGGATGCCCTCAGGAATAGAAGTTAGGCGCTTACGATGGCAAATGACTGACCGAACTTGAGGTGCACAGTCACAGCGTGCAGGACACCCAAAAGTCTTCCAGTGTGGGGACAGCAGCAAGAGATGGAGAACAAAGATTAAAGGCCAGCATGATGCCATCATACAAACTGGGGTGCTACCATTTTCTTAGGCACCTAAAAGGTAGATACAGAGAAACAACTATTAAATACATTGATAAAATTGTGTTAAGACACACTCCACACAGTTATCTCCATTCAATTTTCTCTGACTGACATTGAACATACAATCTTTTCAGTTTCATTCTCTCTTAATGATAGGCTGCAGTGTTCTGAGACAGCGTACATACAGGGAATATCTATAACATCGAGAAACCCAGCACTAATACAATACTCAGAATTTCAAAATAAATGCAGACTTGTGAATGAAAAGGAATGTTCACAAATATTACAAATCATTTTTTTAATGGTATTTGTCAGCTAGTGGTTGGTAAGGTTGTAGGAATTCAAAGGATGGTGAAAACATCAATGGGCTAGTTTGTGGAAATCTGAGGGATATTATAGGGGGTCACTTCCAAAAGAAAAGGTTATTGGAGGCACACCCAGAACATGCATCTCTTAGCAGCATTGCTGCTATGTTAGCAAACAAACATGTGGACTTAGTTACGCCACATGGACATATCCAGGGCCGGACATAAAAACACAAGCTCACAGATGCACACACATAGACTCAATGACAGACAATCTCACTGCCACACACAGACAAGATTATTGGTATACACACAAACATAGTACAGACAAACTCTGACACTCACAAGCTTTCTACAGACAAGCTCACTGTCTCACACACACACACACACACGCTCACTACAGAAAAGCTCACTGATACACACATGCTTCCTACAGACAAGCTCACTGACAGACACAAGATCACTACAGACAAGTTCACTGACACATACATACTCCATACAGACAAGTTCACTGACACACATACTCCATACAGAAAAGCTCACTGACACACACATACTTCCCACAGAAAAGGTTGTAATAAACATGGTCTAGATATTCTGTGGCCACCCTTTACTTTTTCCTGCGAACGGGTCATTGGCACAATGCCACACCTACAATGGAACAGATAATAATGATATGCTTCTAAAACCTCGCTTTAGAGGGATCTGTTTATATATGCAGAGGAGAACCTCAGACTTTATCACACTGTTCCAAAACAATCTGACTTCATGAGCGGTATGCACCGATTAGTAGGGCTATAACCAATGACACAGGTACACACACAAGCTCACTCACTAGCAGACACACACACACACACACACACAAGCTCACTCACTAGCAAGCACACACACACACAAGCTTACTCACTAGCAGGCACACACACACACACAAGCTCACTTCCTAGCAGGCACACACACACACACACACACAAGCTCACTCACTAGCAGGCACACACACGCAAGCAAGCTCACTCACTATGTATTCCTGGCACTATAGTATCCCTTTAACTACATCTTAGAAAAGTTCTATAGGATGGGCTTTGGTGAATGAATAATAGAATACAGCTATTCTAGGCATTCTTCCTTCTCAACTCAATGTCTAAATCTGATGGAACAGTATTATAGCAGGAAAATATAAGTAACATTTAATGAGTCAGTTTGTTTTAAAACATTTTCTTTCTTTCTATTATCTTTCAAGACTCTTTCATTTCTATTGACTTTCCTGAAGGCTTTGTTCCCCCAAAGAGCTGATGTTTAAGCGACAAAGCCGTGTGACTCAATGTGTTTGCAGTTAAATGCAAAAAGCAAAGATGTAAGTGGAGGCTGGGAATATGGAAAATTAAACAAAGAAAAAAGGCTTTTTTCCAGCAACAATCAAAAAACGAAAGAGAAGATGAAAAGGCAAAGTCCATGGTAAAGAAATGTATCGGAATCAACAGATAAAGGAACCCCTCCACATCTATATCGCCATGTTAAACATTTCCCATTCATCCTTAGGTACAATGAAGTAAGAATATCTACAGCA